CGGCCCAGCCTTAAACGGTGACACTCCCTCAGAATGATGTTACTTCACTGAGCACATAAATTTCTATAAAAGCTCACACCATCAGTGTTATGGATTGGATGCTACTCTGTGCTTTTGGAAGAAGCATTTCTGGAGGAGTTTTGACCCTGTTCTGCTCTTCCACTTTTGGTAAATGCTGATAAAACAATAATCAAACTCTTAATTTAGATCTTTTTGGTAATGTCAAAGACCCATAGAGCAGGCCAAAGGCTAGTATCTTAACTCAAAATAATAGGCATATTTATGATGTTTCCTGCTACTGCTTTTGCACTGATAGAAAACACAGTTGTTCCTTCTACCAGTGAATGCTTATTTTTAAGTGCATTAAGAGTTTGAGGCCTTAAGCTGTTGAGGGATCGAGTGCTTGCAGTTCTCATTAACTTTAGCAGGAGTAAAGAATTCTCACTTGGCAAAAAAAGCAACTTGTAGAACATCTGTTTCTTCAAAAATGATGTGAAGTGTGCTGAGTACTATACAACCTTGCAATTAGAATTCATACCAAATGCTCTCCAAGGCCTTGTCTATACAAGAAAGAGCTTGTCAGTATAGTTAGATCAATACAGATATACTAGCTAGACTTTCTTGTACAGAAAGCACTTACCTGTGAAAATAATACCCTGTTAATAGAATTTACAAAATCTCACTGTTTGAGCAAACAGTGATTTGTTTGGGTTTTTTTCCTTTATTTTTTCTTTTCTGAGAGCAAAAGCTGCATTCACCCTAGGGCTTGCCTTGTTTTTAAAAAAAAAATAAATAAAAAAATTAGATATTACACTTGTAAGTACTATCCCAGAGAACTTTTTTTAGTGTAGATTGGTCCTACAACCTTCTCTGTCATTCTGATGGTAGCAGACAACAAAAATGTTGTCTCTTACAGAAAGGTTTGCTGGAGAAAAAAAATAAATGAAGTTTAATATTCAGGTTTGAACACGGCTTGGTGTGAATATATTCTATAGAAGTTGTGTAGAGTGAGAAAGACTGCACCTGATAGCTGGTGTGCTGCACTCCAGGGAGCATAGCAGAGAGAAGGCTCAGGTCAGCATCCAGTGAGCACATCTGGCAGAATTAAACCACTGGCAGCAGCAGCAGCTACCAAAGCAAAGACTGTAGGGATAGTGGTGAGAGAAGTAAAACTGGGTGCATTTATGGTCACTTCAAAATCTTTCAAATACCAGACCATGCAAAGAGACCTATCTACCCATCTATGAGGACGTGAGCTTTCAAGTGTTGTCTCCTTCTCCCCAGCCCCGGGTAAAACTGATAGCTAGTTGCTAGAAAGAGCTACCAAAATAGTCAAAGCTGGGTAGCCAAACAATTTCTTACAGCTCTGCATACACCTTTTTTTGTTTCATGCATATTGGCTGCTTGCTTGTTTTCTTCCTTACTGCCTCACTTGGACATCATTACTGATGTTCCCCTTTCTCCTCTGCACTCTCCCTCTCACCTCCCTTTCCCTTCAGCATCTTTCCCTTCACTTCCCTTTACATGTACTTTATCCCTTCTTAACTAATTTCATCACTATTCCCTGAATGGAAAAAAACCCCAATCAACGAAGAACCCAACTATGAGACTAGCTTCCTCCTTACTGCCACCATAAAGCTCACTTCACTTGCTTGGTCCATCCCTGCCTCAGCTGGCTCTCTCCCTTGTTGGTATAGGTTAAAAGATTTTTGAGGGAAGGATCATCTTCTATTCTGTGTTTGCTCATTGTCCAGGGAAACAGAATTTGTTTCACTCAGCCTCTGGGCAGTACTGCATTAATCTTTGCTAACGGTAGAAGTTCAGAAGACTACAGGTTACAGCTACAGGCTACAGAAAACGTGTGCATACATACTGCATTGTAAAACAGTTAGAACTGTACTATATATAGACACAATCCTGTTGTCAGACACATGCACAAAACTGACTCCACTGAGGGTTACAAATGCATTATTAACAGCTGAATCTGTCTAATGAATTTTTGCTAGACCTAGTAAATACTATACATATATACATACATACATATATGTATGTGTCTATGCCAAGTTTGGCAGTTCTGCTCCACCACCAGAGCGTGCGTAAGACTGAGCAGGTGCCAACTGATTTCATGGGCCACATTGGCACGTATGAATCAGATGCTGGTGAACGACACCACCAATTGCAGATGCTTAATAAAACTTCTCCCTTTCGCTCTTCTTCCTTTAGCTGGCTCCCTCCACTTTTCTGGTGCAATCACTATTTTGTCTGGTTGGAGATGGTAATGGTCTGATTAGGGCTTTCTGGCAGCAGCTGAACAGCTGGTATGCAACTGATTTCAAGAGAATCCATTGACATGTGCACCTCAAGAAGGCAGCTGGCTTGTGGCTGAAGTGGCAGCAGTGAGAAACTGGTGCAGGAGCAAACTAAGGATATCGCTGAAAGGTGATATGGCAAGGAATGAACTAGGCTTGTGCCTTTTGTTCTTCTTTTTAATGAATTACAGAGATGACTCAAACTTTTTCTAAGTGTTTGTGATGCACTTGAATTACTTTTATGAATGTTAATATTTGCTTTCATGATTTGCTTGATGTTCACTGGGGGATGGCGATTGGAAATTGTCAGGACTAATGACAGGAACATGGATATTCAACATCCAACAAAAGAGCTTCTTTGCAAAAGCTAAGCAACAATAGCCTGAATAAAAAAAATAACAAATCTATTTCTCTTGGTATCTGCTGTGCCATAGAATTCCTACTTCTCAAAAGCTTTTTCTACATGGAAAAGGTATATTCTCAGTATACCTTAAATGGCAAAAATGGCACAATACTCCTAAACATGTGTGTATATATTTTTACATATATAGATATCTCAAAACCCACCTTAGCCAACACAGATAATTATCTGCTACAAGAACCGCATGCAGACAAGCCTTTGTCTACTTCTTGCCTGTCTTCCAGGACAAATAAGGCCAGGTAGGCCTTCTTTGTACATCAATCAAAAGTGTACAAGCACAGTTTCTTCTCTTTTTTATTCACTGTTGCAACGGGAGAAGAAGACAGATCTTTATTCTGTCCCACTCCTGTCTCTGTCAGCAGATGGGGAGTATGAATAGAGAAATTTGTGGTTAATCTCCAACCAGTTCTAAAGCAGACACCTGTTGTAAACATCCTGCAAATGAAACACTGTTTTTTTGTGCTTTGTATATGCATGCATGCTGGACCCGGTCATGCAAGGTACCTTTGAAAGCCCCCAGCTTCTAAGCATCAACTAGAGGAAAGAACAACTAGCACCATGCGGGACTGGGGTTTCTCTGTATGCATACACCAGTTTCAAATATAACCCTGAAGGTGTTTAGACCTTGAAATAGCTACAAATCAGTATAAACTGTAACTTCAGAACGCATGTCATCTCCAAGTGGGAGGCCTGGATCCAGAGATGACATCTCCACTGCTAGTCATACCTGATGGTTAGTCCTGTCCACAGTGTTGGCAGTGGAAGCATGGTCACGAGTGTTTTGTCGGACTCGGGTGGAGTTTTGCTGCTCTATGGTTGATGAAGTGGGGATGCAAAACTCTCTGAAACACCTTTTGAAATTCTCATCTAGAAATGCATAAAGGACTGGATTAAGGCAGCTATTTGTATACCCTAGAGCAATACAGAAGTGCCAGGAGACAGTCTGGAAAGTAGTTTCTGGGATATTGACTAGGGCTTTAATGATGACATAAATGTGGATGGGAGTCCAGCAGACAATAAACACTGCCACCACTACAAGAACCATCCTCGTGATTCTCCGCAGGTTCCTGTCTTTCTCTTTGGAGCCAGATAACATGCGAACGCTCTTCAGGCGTAAAATCATCAGCCCATAGCACACGGTAATGATCAGGACTGGCATGATGAAGGCAAAGATAAATACACAGATTTTCAGGAGGTTCTCCCAGTACCATGCAGGGTGGGAGAACGTAAGTGTGCAGTCAATAGAGCCTGCAGAAAAAGGAAAACAGCAAAGAAGAAGAAGTGGGTCAGTTTTTCATTTGCTTTTCTTTAAGCCTTTTTTGTTAAATATCATATGCAAATATAAGAAGATTTGCTAAATAAACAGGTAAAATGAAACGATCTATGATGTGTCATCGGCACAAACATTGATAAGACACAATGCCACAAAACGTGTATGAAGTGTGAGTTAGAAAAACAAAACTGAAGTAACGTGTTCTCTTTTGCATTTTATTGCTCGGAATTGCAGGTATATTGCACAAGAAAAAGAGCTGACTTGTCCTAAACGCTTAAACTTTGCCTTATTTTCACTTTCAGTATAAAACCCGGTGAAGAGAAAGATGGTTTAACCACTGTATCTGCTAACAGTCTGGGCATTTCAAGGCAATGGGGAAGAGAATGACATGATGCTTGGTAACTGTGCGCAATGGAGCGTTTAGATTTATTTTGAGATGCTGTCACTTCATGGAAGGTCTTTGAGCACCAGTGATCCAGAAGGTGCTCTCTGCTCTGTGTCACGTCCTGCCAGAATAGGTGCAATGTATTTATGTCTGCCAACTTCAGTGGGAATATCCTGGGTAAAGCACAGGCTTCTGTGCTGTAGGACAGTGCATAATCACCTCACAGAAGGCAGGCAGGCACAGGTGCTTTTCCAAACACTACAATAACTGTGTGGGGCAGAGACACTCACATGGACTCACAGAAGGAGCTGGAGCTGCCTGTTGTAAAAGATAGATCGTGCAGCCAACTACAGCCAGATGCAAAATTGTTTAAGGAGTCTATTTGCACACACACCTGCTTTATACAGGTTGGAGGTTAGAAGTTAATTCAACACCTCTACAATAAAGTAAAACAATGCAGAAAGGAGTTTAAACATTGAAATACTCAATTTAGGAATGAACGTCAGACTTACCATGCCTGTATTTAGTAGTTGCCATGAACATAACTGGCAGGCCAATGGCAGAAGAAAGAATCCAGTTGCAGACATTGACAATTTTGGCATTTCTGGGGGTACGGAAATCAAGGGCCTTAACTGGGTGGCAAACAGCTATGTAGCGATCCACACTCATGGTGCAGAGTGTAAAGATACTGGTGAACATGTTGTAGTAGTCTATGGATATAACAATCTTACAAAGGATGGTACCAAACGGCCATGTTCCCATCAAGTAATTCACACTCTGGAATGGCAGAGTACTTGTTGCTAGGGCATCTGCCAATGCAAGATTGAAAATATAGATATTGGTGGCAGTCTTCATTTTTGTGTACCTAGAAAAAAAAATCAGCAAAGCATGTGAATGACCACAACGGACAATGTTACACAGAATTGAGTCCAGTGCACCATCTATAAGAAACTTCTGTGAAATAATGTGCTAGATGCTGTCAAAGATAATCTTTTCTGCTTTTAACCAAATAGCCTTGCTATGGTTTATCTACTATAATGTTTGCAGTTCAGTGAGGCATTAGCTAAAGGGTGTAAGAAAGAAAATAAAAGATTAATTTAACTTGTGCAGAGAGAAAGGATACGCGTAGAAGAAACAGTATTATCAATGCTAAAGAATTGAGAAGCTGAAAAAAAATTCTATTTGGACATATCAGACACTGTACTAAATGGATACATTTTCTGTATCTGCTGATACCATGTCCAGTATCAGAACTGTGATCTGTAGAAATTGAGAACTCATTTGTAAGTTGTGGAGTAGTAATGACATAATTCCTTAGGGAGTAAGTACCTAAAAGATTAGTATAATTATCAAACCCGTTGTGTCTAAAAATCCAGTCTTTCGGACTTTCTTATTTGTTTATAATTACAGAATTCTAAAATAATTTCTAATGATAGCTACTACATTGCTTTACTAATCTCAATGTCCGATATAAGTTGGACAGATGTTCCTTCAATCAAACAAAAAGACAGATGCTATTAACCATATGCATTGAATGTATCAATAGAACGAGCACCCTGGTGGATGCTGCAGCCCTGTTGCTTGAGGTAGGAATGCTCAGCTTTGCTCCTCAGTGCCTATTTCGGCAGGAAGGTCTTCAATCTCCACTGCATCCCCTTCTTCCTGAGTCTGTGTTGCAAACAACCCAAAACCCACTTCCTTAATTTTAACTATGACACACATCAATCACAGCTGAGCAAGGGGAGCTTTTTATGTTTCAATTTGTAGTTGCATTGCTAAAGGTAGAGTCCAAATTCCTCCTTAGTTTCATCAAATTTTTGAAGAGCCCTTCACTGTTTCAAGTCTGTTGTGTCTGCTGAGCAGCACTTGAGATCCACTTTTTATGAGGATGCTATACTTTTGCAGTGGCACAATGAATGTTTCACTCTAAGTAACGTTTCTGGCCATGCTACCCTGCTGTCCTGATTGCTGCTGAGGTTGCTGGGTAATGTGGCTGCCTGGCTTTTGGGAGGTCAGATGGCTTGATCTTTTGATAAAACTTCCTTCTGTTTCTGCAAAGTAACAAGGAGAATGTTTGATCAAACATCTTACAATTTATAGGGTGATCTGCAAGAGGAATAGCTCATTTGAAAAGATCTTTCAGGCAACCTGCCACAGAAGACAAAGTGTAAAATACAACATTTCATATTTTTTTTTCTCTCTGACTTTGATCTTTTCAGAACATGACTCAGCTGCAAAAAAACCCCTGATGACAGGGCTGTGTGGAGAACACACATTTGGAACTTTTTTTCATAGGATCTGGAGAAATGTGGACTTCTTGCTGAATTCATCTAGATAGCTTTCATGATGAATATCTGAAGAAGTTTGTACTGGCTTTGTTCTCTCATTTTCTAGTACTGTGCATGAGAAGCACCAACACTAGCACTAATAACCCGAATTTCAATTTAGGAAGTTTTTTTAAAAAAAAGATTTTCAAGTAGATCCAAGCTCCTTCTTGACTGCTGTCTTGAGAAAGTATGATCTGAGTATGATACTTCCCACTTCCAAATAAAACCTATATTCTGAAAGTACCCTGAAAACTTTTCTTACAGGAACACTCCATTTATCCAACAAGATTGTAACACGAACTTAGGAAGAGGTAGATGCTGCAAGCATCCATGCCTGTCTCTGCTGGGAATTATTTAAAACAAATGTGCAGGATTGTGGTGTGAGAAAGGTACACAATAAGCTACAGCGCTAAAAACAGTTCAGAGGGAGGAGAAAGTACTTTCTGGGCAATTTGCTGGAGAATCTTGCAGAGGAGAATGAAAATAGCAACATTTTTATATTGACTTTACTATTACCCAGAATGAAAATGTTGTATTAAGCCCTCTTTTTGCCATGTTTCCTGTTGTTTATCAAAAATGAGTGTCTTCTCCATAGGTTTGACAACAGATCCAGGGCTGTCGTGTCCAGACAGCTAACCTGGAGGTTTGATTGCATTGCGAGCAGACATATCCAGTTTGCTGCACTCTGATCCGCTGAGGCAGCAATAGCAGTGGAGGGGTAGAGGCTCTCAATTCTGCACAGACAAGGAAAGGCGATGAGGATCCCGCATCCTCTCCCAGGCTGTGGATCCCTCCTCAGCCCTGAAGGTGATTGCCCTATCTTTATGGCTGGACAAGAAAGCATGCTTAGGTATGCTGCTCAGAGCTGCTGCCATCACACATGATTCTGGCACAGTTCTGTCTGAAAAGCACATCATGAGATGATAATGATAATTTTTTTTATCAGTAATTAAAGCCATTCTTATGATTTAAAAGGAATGCTCAATAGAGCAAAAAAATAAATACATCAACCAATATGCAAACGACTCTCAGGTTAGCATGCTATGGGATGGGCAGGGAAAAGCTCTGAATAAATGGAATAAAGTTTCTTCACCGGGCCTGGCATGGGCCTTATCCCACTTAAATGCTATACATTTTTCAGTTTTGCTATCTTGCTTTCATTGTAAGTTTAAGCTTAAACGTTCTTGGACTTCATTTAATGGGCTTTACAGGCTATTAATGAAGGATTTTGCTTGACGTACTCTGTAATCTTTATTTTTCTAATCATGCTGTTCTTACAAAGAAAGGAAGCAGAGCTTTCATGGTGATAGAAAATATTTACCTCCACAATTGCTTAATGAACAAAAGTCTACTGAAATTCACAATATTCTTTTCAGTGAATTCTATGGGATTTGGGTGTTTCTCTGTACTGAATATTTCAAGATTTTATAAGGGGCTTATTTCTGAAAGGTACATTTTGTTAAACATGTATTTTTCCAAATAGGTAGATTATCAATGTCCCCAGGATTATTTTTTTGTACAAACAAATAAATACTGAAGCAATTGATTAAAAGTAATTTTAACAGCATGAAAAAGAACAGTCCCTCAAAATGGAGCTCTTCAAAGCCTTCATCCTAGCTGTTATATCTTTTGCTAAGGTATTGGTCTACCTAGTTGAACAAGCAGCACAAACATTTCCATCATCCAGACATAGACGTGTATGTGATGAGATTTCTATACTTCAGAAGGACTGGATTTTATATGTAATTAAATTCACAGGATATCTGTATGACTCACAATACCGAAAGTATTGTGCTTGTAAGTGCAATCTTTTAACAGATACTGTTTTCACATAGTCTGGGTTATTCCTGCCTCAGGCAAAGGCAAACCCATTCAGGCGATTGCTTTTGCTCAAGAATCTGGGTGTACTTGGTGGGTGGTGTGGGAGGATGGGGAAGTCCGATGTGTGCCTCAAGGGGATTTGATTTTGGGTAAGAATAGCCACTGAATTAAATTGTATGATGTTAATTGCTATATAACACTGTATATCATCACTTCTATGGTGGCTATATGCCATATCAAGGTTATTACATTAAAAATCACCCAGATTAATGAAGAATGAACTTTGATGAAACCAGACAAGCACAGCAGTGATGGAATCAGAACTGGCTTCAGCATGCAACAATCCCAACAGCACACACCATCTTTCCTGTCCTGAAAGACTGTTATGACAGATGGAGCCCAAAGTCATGGACTAAAGGAACTTAACAGACATTTTAGAGGGATGGCCCATAGACTAAGGGAACGGTATCTGTGTGCATATATCAAAAGACAGAAAAGGTGATGGTAGTTAACTGGGATGCATTGGAAAGTGTGCGACCTGGGCATGATGTAAATGGTATAAATAAGAGGTGGATACTGTCCTGGTTTCAGTTGGGACAGAGTTAATTTTCTTTATAGTAGCTGGTACAGTGCTGTGTTTCGGATTTAGTTTTTTCTTGCTGGGTTTTCTTACTATGAAAAATTGTGTAAGTCTCAAGTTTCACTGGTCATTTTTCCTGTCACAAGACTTTGCAAATGAATGTTTGTTTGCAGATGTGACCCCTAGGACCCGTATTATTTCTAGCTTTACCTACCCATTCCATCTCACTTTTTTTTTTGTTTTCAGATTAATAAATTTGTGTTTTCTCTCTGTATATTTCTAACATGCTAGCTCCTTGCCTAGAAAAGCTATAGACATCAAACTCATAATGGAATCAGGATGATCTACATGTTAAACACCTGCATGGTACTGAAGCAGCTGCACCTCAGTCATGTTACTTTTGTTCGAGCACTGATGAATGGTCACACAGTCTTCTGTATTTTGTGATAGTATGTTAGGGTTTTTATCCCTTTTCTAGTAAAGGTATATAAAAAGAATCTAACATATTCCACTTGGCCACACACTCTCTCTTTCATTGTCTCTTCTTCTGTTCAAGTCTTCACTTTTCAAAGCAGGCATTGGCCCCAGTCCTGCTGGTTTGGATGAGTCCCGTGAGTTACTCTGTGCTAAAGAGGTGCTTCTGTCTCAGCTGGCCACTAGATTCAAGGCAACTAGAGAATCTAAAAATGAACAGGTTCATAACGAAAGAGCCTTAAATGCAAACCCATGAAAATCTGAATGCTGGTATTTAGATTACATTGAAATTTCAGCATCTAAAACACTAAATATATTAAATTTTGCATTACAATGAGCTAGGCTGCAAGAAGATAAAGTCGGCTTTGGGCAATGTTACTTTTATTTTTAGAACTCTGCAAGGAAAGACTAATAGAGCAATATGATGATTCAATTTTTTTGTGAATATTTAGCTCAATACTGCTCTTGCTACATATTCAAATTAGTTATGCTCATTATAATACTGACATCCACTAGTATGTCCTTTCTAAGTGCTCAGTGCAGGTTTTGTATCATAAAACATCTATGTTTATGAAGCGTTTTTTGTTAGTAGTAGTAGATCATAGATCAGATTTACAACAGTAAGAATATACTTTATATCTGTCTAATCCTGTAAGGAA